GTATATATATATATATATATATATAGAGAGAGAGAGAGAGAGAGAGAGACACACACACAAACACACGTATGTATTTGTATATGAGTGTTTGTATATATATGCACACTAGGCCTGGCATGGGTTGATGGTTAGAGTGGTTGTCTTGCAATCTGTGGGTTGCAGGATTAAGAGAAAATCTGATGAGAACACAGATTCTGGCTCCAAACAACCAGCTATCCAACATGTAAGTTATGATAGGTTTTTTCATCTAATTGATATTTTCATTGTTATTATTGTTTTGAAATCATTAATTACTAGAAATTTATCGAATGACATTTCCAGAAATATGTCAAGGTGGGGTGCACTTATAATATTTTTGCTTTCTGGATATAAAGAAAGTGGTCAACTTCCAATCTGTGGGTTGCAGGGTTAAACCCTGTCACAGGACATGCTTGCCCTTTCAGCTGTGATAGCATCATAATATGATAGTTAATTCTACTATTCAGTGGTAAAGAGTAACCCCAGAGGTGGGTGGTATTGACTAGCTGCTTTCCCTCTATCTCTTAAAAGATAGCCTTTGAGTAGTTTTTGTTTTTAATTTTTTAACCAATAGGTTGTGTGCAGTTCACTCTGAACAATTAAACTACTTTTTATTGGTGGTGTTAAAATAACGTTTCAATTACTCTAGGTTTGGAGCATGCAACAGGAGATGGAGACAACACCAATAGATGATAACATGATACGTAAAATACTAGATGAAGTGTTTGAGCAGCCATCAGGATCTTCAACCTCAGAAAGTGTGCCTTCCAACAACCAGTCTGTCAACACTGTCCAAGATGTTCATGAAAAGCTTGCTATTAATGCTATTCAACAACAGTTGATGAGCTATGAGACCACAGCTAGAAGCAGTACAACCACAGCCCATGCTGCTCCTTCATCCTCGTACATTCAGTCTTCTGGTATGGGTTTAGGAACTGTTGTGCCTCCAAACATTGTTGTCAACTTTTCTTCCACACACAACTACCCTTCTGTACCATCTTTGCCTACCTATTCCAGTGGAACTCAAGCTGGACACAGATTAAAAGCTCAGAATTCTGGAGTTCTGACTGGTGTGCAGCAAGGTGTGGCTGTAGGAAATTTTCAGCGACCTGGAGGTTCACAACTTCTTAATTCTGGAGGAGGAGGATTGACTCCTGAGGTATGGCAAATTGAGCTTGACATATAGCTTGTTAAGATATAGCTAGAATATGATACTGTACTGTCACTATTACATATTTGAGAAAAAATTAGTTTGATTTCGTCAGAATTAAATTATATTTCTGCATGTTGTGAATTTGAATTTATCTGATTTGGAAATATCAACTTCTTTGAAGAACAAGCAGTTGTTCATGAGTTAGAAATACCTTCTACTTGCCTTTATTTGAAGAAAACAATACAGTGTGAAGGGATTTTCTTTTAATATAGAAAACCTTATCTCTGACTAGAAAATTGATAGTTGTTTCACATACTGTGAAATAAAAGGTTAGTTGCAAGTACTTGCTAAATATATCTTGAGAAGACAGGTTTTTATGATGTTTATTTTATTGTGACAAACCAGGTTTATCACCGGCTTCTTGAACGTCGACAGAAAATGCTTCAGCATCAAAAACGCTTGCGAGCACAGCAGCAACAACAACAGCAAGTTGTACAGTCTTCTCAGACAGCTTCAGAGCCCATGACCCCAGTATCAGCATCAGTGTTCCCTGAAAACACAAATGATATGTTGAATAACACAGTTGCTCCCAATGTTACACTTCAGGTACTAGGAGCTTTCTAATGGCTGTTATAAAATATTCTAACTGTAAAACTACATTGTAGAATAACACACTGTAGATATTGATTTGTGGCTTTTCTTACAGCATTTCCTAAATATTATGGTATATGTGGAATACAAATTTTGTAATTATTATTTAAGGCAAGATATTAGACACAGTGAAATATTCTACCTTTATGAGCCTACTTGTAATTTGTAGATGCATGCTATTACCAGTACACTTTGTTTGTAGGACACCAATAAATTTCTTCCCCAAAACAAAAAAAGGCTGCTTTTATTTTATGAGAAACTAGGCTTTAGCTGTGGTGTAACCATAGACTTTTTAGGCACCTAACAAATTGCAAGTCTGAACTATTTTTCATAAAAAGACTTCAAAACAGTATTTGTAAAGATCAAAGGTCTCATGATAGTTGTGAGTACAATACTAAATCAGTTGCCCAGCTCACAGTACGTAATTCTTGTCTCGTCCCTTCAAAATTTGCTTTGTTGAAATTTGGAACCAAAATCTCATTATTCTTTAACTCCATATGCAGCAAAAAATAAAATGTATTTGAGCAATAGTCACTTACACTCAGACGTTCCCCAGTCTCCACTGTACCAATCATTTTTTTATTAGAACTTAACAATAGAGCTAAAATAACATTGTCCCTTGTAGGTTCCCTAGCCAATCATTGAAGAAAACCATCTAGAAAAGTTTCTAAAAACCTGTATCACTCATTATTTGACTCTTAACATTTCCAAATCTATATGCCTGAAATTAATTTCTCTATTAATTATAACTTTATTAACAGTTGAATTCCTTATTTCATTTTAAAGTTTCTCAATAGTTTCATCTGGTGGTCTGTAACAAATGTCAACTAAAAGCCTTCTCTCCTTTATAACCACTAACTGAAACCCAAAGAGATTCAAATCACTTGCTTTTGATAATCCCAACTTGAACAGGCTGTAACTCACATTTTACATATAAAGCCACCATCGTTTAAGTACTTTATCCCTATTAAACAGCCTATGACCCTGTATTTCAAAAAAATTCCTGTCCTTGGAATTATCTGCTTTTAGCCATATTTCAGTCATTCCCATAATACAAAATCCTCTGTTCTGACCAGTACTCAAAATTCATACATTTTATTTCGTATACTTCTACCTTTGTACCTTGTTCCCACACTAAAAATATCACTACATTGTATTTTTTCTTCATCATTCTGACTTTATCCAGTGTCTAGTCCTAGTTTATAGTTGTCCTTACAGTTGAGTTAATAGCCCTTGCAAATATGCCAGCCCCTACCCTATTTAAATGGTAACCATCCATTCCCAAAAGCTTTTCCCACTGAACTGATCCCACAAATCCAATCAGCCAACCTGCTTCTTCTTACATATTAACCGAATAATTTCATAATTTTATTAATTTCATTCTCACAATTATGTCTTGGCAGTATCCCTGAATGCCTTGCACTTAACAATAAGCTCCTATGACCTACCCTTCCAAACATCATTAGCCTGCATGTGCACTACAAAGACTGCATCACTGCTAGCACTCTTTACTATATCCCTTTTTGTATTGGTTATATCCTCCAGGTAGTAATAGGAAATGTAATTTAAGACTTAAGTTAAGCAAATCCTCCTCCTTACTTAGGTGACACTAGTGAAAACTCTTTTATTTCAATCTAGTACTTAATAACTTTATTATCTTTTATCCCTGTATTGGTAATACTAGTTACCTGAAAACAAAAATCTAATTATATAGTATTAAGCCTAATGTCATAACTTTATGCTTAGCTGTACCTTTAATAATAAAACCTAAAATGTCCTATCCCAACTGAGCAAACTAAAATATGCTGAACTAACAACTCTAGACTTTAAAATATTGAAATAATACTTACTTTCTCCTGAAGAACATTATAACCTACAGTGAGGTATATACATTTTAAAAAAATATATATATGTTGTTTTCAAAATTACTGGTTCAACAGCATGGTCCAACTGGCTGCCTACTAGCCTCATCCAGCCCAACTACTGATTTGACCAAGCCTCAGTATACATTATATGCTAAATTTTAGTTCCAAACATTTAAAAAAATTGACTCAAATAAATTTTAAAAGGAAAATCTCATTTAAATAAATCACATAAGTAATGTATTATAGCTCTACAATGTTTCCATCTTCTACAGTCTGGCTTTCCATAGGCAAATGGTTGGTCCAACCTGTTCTAAAATGCGTCCTGCGTGAATGTTAACATATTTATATTTAAATATTAAATTTCCAGCGCTTCAATGGTATAACAGATCAGCAACTGTCACCACGATACAATACCACGTTATTAGGGCAGACTGGTCAGTCACAGTTGTCACCTGGTCACCAGCCTCCATACTCGCCACTATCTCAACAGTCCTTTCCCAATCCAAGTCCACCTGTCACCAGTGGCTACTCCCAGCAACAGCATAGACAGCCTACGTATTTGCCTTCTTCTCCTGTAACAGTCACAGGAGGGAAACCCCAGTCCCCTCACCTTCAAGCTCACTCCTCACAGACTCAGTGGAACCAAAGAACTGCGCCAAACACCACAACGACAGGTTCTGTCCAACAGCAGAACCCCATGTTGAATGCTCAGCTGTCACAGGTTAGTTACTGTCACTTTTCTTGTGAAAATGCTCTGATTAATACTGAGGATAGTAAAGAAGGTAAATGATATTAATAGTTTAAGTAAAAAAGTTGTGAAGTTTTGCACCATGAAACTGTTTCACACTTCTGTGTTAATGATTTATTTATATTAAAATGCATTAAAAAATGTTTGTATTATACACACAAGCATTTTTATTTAAATGGGTATTCTTAATGTACTTGGCTTGATGTTGCATATTGTTCAAAGTGGTTGTATTTGTGTTGGAGAAAATCTGTCATTATGTTTTCATTTTCTAGAGTTCATTCAGTGGCCAAGGTAGGTTTATTACACAAGCACAACGACAGATACAAGTACGATCTTTGTCCAGTCCAAACTCTGTCACTAGCCAGATAAATTCATCTTTTCCGAACCAATCAGATGGTCAGTTTCAGCCACAATCTCCTGGTCACCTATATCAGCAGCCATCACAAGCACCATCAAAACAACAGAGAATACAGAGGGTAGTTTCAATACCAAGTGAGTTTTCTAATGTAAATATTTTCATCATTGTTCTCAACAGTAAGTCAACATCATGTAGAAATTACCAGTATTGTCTTTTTCTAGTTTCTTCTAAAATGCAAACTGACAGCAAAAAGTAATTTTTAAGTCTTGTAGTGTGCCAGCCACCCTGACTATAGAGTACTAGCAAACTTTTGACGGCATTTCATGTTAAAATACATCATCCATGTTAAAACTATCCTACAGTGGGAGGGAAAATAAGATGTGGCCAGATAACATTCTTACTTTTGGTGTTTAAGGTAATTTCCAAGGTCATAAAGGTTGAAATAAATGTGATCCAAGTTTTTTTAAGGATAGAATATCTTTTTAAGTTACATAAACTTTGAGTACTTGACACTGGGACCATATACACAGTGACTAGATTAATCAATGAATATATACTGAATGGCTGAAAACAGCAAATGACTGTTGTTATTATTTGTTGATTTCATGTAGAGCTACTCATCCCTAATTTTGAAGTGATAGACTAAAGTAGCTAGTCAATATCACCCACTACCAACTCTTGAGCTACTTTAATCAAATAGTGGGATTTCAATGTAATGTACCCATTGCCCCTAACTGAGGAGTATGATATTTTTATTAGTGGCAGTTGCATGTAAACCATGGAATCTTGGATCAACAGTCCCACATGCTAGTGAACAACAAGGTTGTGTTTGGTATCAAAAATAACTAAGACATGTGACTATAATAGACACAGCGTGTATGTCAGTGTCTGTGTATTTAACCAAAACTCATGCACCATCTGTTGAAAGGCACCACAAAAAAAATCCATTAAACATTTCCCACTTTGGGTATTCAAGATTGAGTAGCTGTGGTATGTGCAACAACCATTTCTTTATAATAGAACACAATTTTAAATAAAAGCACTCGCCTCACTACAAGAACACGACTTTCATTAGGACTGTTTGATTTTATCTTTATTGATGTAATTTTTAAATGTAGTACTGAGAAACTGGAGTTCTTAAAAAACTATTATTCTTTCAATAAACAGTACCACTTTTAATATATAAAAACATTACAGTTTAATACTACAATTAGTAATTACTAGCACAAACAGCCACCTGTTGAGCTGCATTTCTACTAGTTACCAATAATTTTAAAATGAGACACTTAGCAAGGTAAACAGTATTAAATAGATCAACTTCCATAATAATTCACTTCAAGCAGAATATGTCTCTGTTACTTAATTGAAATGAGACATTTCACACGTTGATTAATTGAAACAAGAGGATTGCTCACGTTGACATACTAAACAGGTATTGAGGAGTTTTAAGAAATAGTACTACCTACATAATCTTCATAAGACATTAATCAGTTTTAAAAAGAAAATTTAAGTTGCTTATCAGTTTAATCAGACAATATCACACATATTTCACTACATGTCATTTACTGATCACTTTAAATCGACTGAGATCCTTTCGTGCACAAATTTAACTATGTTCATATTACTCACACTAAATTTTATGTGTATACAGTGTATCAGTGTTGTAACGTGTAATAAATCCTGATGTCAAAAGCTGAAGAAGGCATGTTTTGGCATAAATGTTTTTAAAACTCTCAGTCAATATGGGTTTAGATGTAATGCTAGATAAGTTAAGAGATTTGTCTGTTACTGTTTTACAATTAAACGTATATAATACTTTTATTTCAGAAACAGAAATGTATACCAAGACTCACTAGCTTTTTGTATGTTATTGAGCTACAAAATCTTTGTTGCCTTGCAAAGGTAAAAATGATTTACAGAGATTAGAACCAAACGATTTTATTAAGTTCCATTTTTTACAGATAACTGTTGCACAAGGACACTGGAAAGAGCTGTTTTTAAATGCCTATTTATTGAAGACTAAAAATATTGTGGTAGTTGGAATCAAAGTTGCAGGTCTTTTGAACAGAACATACTTGTATAGAGACCAAATATAAACTACATTATTTTTTATGAAGTGTGATATGGGTAGCAAATTTGGGCAGATAATTGTGAAACAGTATTTCTGTGTACAAGTTTAATTTCACTAATTCACCTTTTCAGCACATTTATATGAGCTATTTTTTCAGGCATACATGTCAGGAGACCAAATTATGTATACACGTAAATCTGTGTTAAAGATTAAGTATAAACATGATGTGATTTTGAAGAAAAATGCATTTTTCTATTTTTATTTTCCATACATTTCATTTCAAGGTAAAGTTTAACTATAGTGAAGTTAGATTTTTTTTCTGAAAGTTATGCAAAATCGAATGACAGTTTTGGAAAAATCTCTGAATTTTCGGATTTGACCCCCAGTAACCTTTATGAGCATGAAAACTACCTTTAAGGTCAAAATTGGGAATGTCATCCTTAATTTTGTCCCATTTAGAATTAATATAATTTTAATGTGCCTAGATAATACTAGAAGTTGTCATGTTCCTTCATAGAGCTTAATTGAAAACATTTAATGCTGATCACTGCAAAATAAAAGACTAGTCATCTCATGTTTAAAAGTTTTTTTGTACTTTACAACTGTAATTGTGATATGATTCAAACCAAGAAGATTTCATTGATAACACTTGTTATCCTGGAGCTAGTATTGTTATATTTATAGTTGACTTTCTTAACTTTACTTAAAGCAGGTCAGTTAAAGAGTTTGAAATCTATTAGACACTGTATAAAACTATTTTATTTTGTCAGGTATCTTTCATTCATATATTGAAATAACAAAACATCTGCTGCTCCTTATGATTGCACATAGTCTGTTTTAAATCTTACTGCTACTTTCCTTTAAAGGTAATAAGATTTTAGTACATTTTTTGAGTGGTTACATTATTTTTCATTGCTAGTTTTTTTCTGTTTATACAGGTCATGTGAACTCACCAAGGACACCACATGGAGGATATGTTAGCAGTGATCAAGTTGTTTCACCTCAGCCACAGATGTCCCCTAGCTACACGAGTCCTGGGAACAACTATGCCTCTACAAGTGGAACATCTGATACTTCACGATTCTCTTTTGATCAACAGAGTTCACAGATATATGGCTTAAGCTCAGTAGATAGGTACAAGTTCAGTGCTGCATTATCGAAATCTAATTACATTGATTAATAAGCTGCAGATTTACTGATAAAAACTGGTTTCTTGTTCTATTTGTTTTCAATAAAACAATTGCATATCTGTTTTATAGTTCACAAATAAAGCTTTTCCAACATTCATTGCTACTTGTTAAATTTAATTTAGGGACATGTTAATAAATGAATAAATTCATTGTAAGAGATTTTGAGTTAACATATATTATTTGGTGTCGTAAATTTATCAACTATTCCATTTAGATTTTATAACTTACTACCAAGTTTGGTGTGTCATAACTACTTAAAAATCGAAAGAATGTTTTTGTCTGAAATAGGCCAAATTATTTTAATATTTTAGGGTCTCTAGTCAGCTTATTAGGCTTAGCATAAATTGCAAAGCTTTGATTAGTTAATGCTTCTTTAAATGCCAGAGGTATGCTTGAACAATAGATATCAAAAAGTGGGCTCTTTTCTTCCTTGATTGGATAATGAAATGATATCATATAAATATTGCCCATTATATATTGAAGACATGACATACAGGTTTGTTCAGAATGTTGGTGTTTATGAACAATAACCAGAAAAATCTGATGTTGGTGTTTGTTTAAGCCCAAAACAGTTTTATTGCCTTAAAACTATGATCTATGCTGGAATTGTAAGATTTTTAGTGATAACTTTATGCACCATTATTTTTGACTTGTGATCGATCATGTACAGTCTATTACAAAGTTAATAGTAAGTATTTCCTTTTTTTCTATTTCAATTAAGACAAACATTGGTCTTCATGGAAGTAATATTCCATTTGATTAACATTTTTGTATGTTGTACATATCAAATAGCTTAGTTTTGTATTTAATATGAAACCATTTCAATTGTTACTTGACCAAGAAACGTAAAAGTAATCCATATAGATCCTCACCCCCAGATGTTTTGAATAATTGGTTTTTTTTTTAGATTGTGCTCAGAGGAAGATTAAATTATTCACTTTAATTTTGTATTTTTCAATAGTTTTTATTTTTTAACTTTTGCAACCTAAACTCAAATTTGTAATATCCAAGTTAAAATATATTTTTAAAAATTATACAGGGGTCAAGGTAAAAGCAGTACAGGAGGAATGACATCGGAGTACGTTAGACAAGAGTTACGAGCTATGGTGGGTGCTAAAACTCAACAGCAACAACAAACACAGGTAAACTTCAATTACTTTTATTTTCACTTATTGTCATATTTATGAAGATATATATTTCATGAATTATCATATAGAAACATAATACCAATAGTTTTAGAGTTGTGAAAACTATTTTTTCATATACAAGCAAAATACCAAACATTTATAGTTTTAAAAAACTATTGACTCATATAGAAGCATAGAATCAAAGGTTTTTAGTTTTAAAACTGTTGACTGCAACAGAAGCATAATAGCAAAGTTTTAAAAAATATTAACATGATTCTAAAGGTTTTTCAAGTTTTACAAACCATTGCCTCATACAGGAACAGGATACCAAAGGTTTTTAGAGTTCTAAAAATCATAGGCTCATATAGGACCACAATAACAAATGTTTTTAAAAGTCTTAAAAACGATGGACTAATATAGGAGCATAAAAACAAAGTTTTTAGAGTTTCAAAAACTGTTGGCTCATATAGGAGCATAATACCAAGAGTTTTTAGTTTTCAAAACTGTTGCATCGTATAAGAGCATAATGCTAAAGTTTTATAGAGTTTTAAAAACTATTGACTTGTATATATAGGAGCATAATCCAAACTTTAGAGTTTTATAAGATATTGGCTCATAAAGGAGTATAATGTCATAGGTTTTAGAAAATTGGTGGCTTACATAGAACCATAATACCAAAGGTATTTTAGAACTTACAATCCATCATTTCAAATAGGGAGAAGAATACCAAAGTTTTATAGAGTTTCAATAGCTATTGGCTCATATAAGAACATAATATCACAAGTTTTAAGTTTCAGAAACTATTGTGTTACTTTGGAGCAGTTTTCTTGGAGTTTTGAAAACTATTGACTCACCTAGGAGCATAATTCCGAAAGATTTAATTTTAAAGAGTATTGGTTCATACAAAAGCATAATACCTAAGATAATAAAAAGAATTACAACACTTATGACAAATAACATTGTTCATTTATTCAAAAAGGGACAAAGATAAACGTTTTGGAACTCTACTTATTCCACCTTCAGTATCTAAAGCAAAATAACAACTATTTACATCAATACTTATACATCATTAAAATTGCAATACTAAATTTAATAATACAAAATACATAGAAATTGAGCATGATAAGTTAGATCAAGAAGACATAAACTTTTTTTGCATTGTAATGGAAGTTTCCAGATGTACATTGGCTTTCAGATAGTGTTTCGATTTGCCAAGATAGGAGGCCTTGCAGTCTTCACATGTGTAAAGATATACAAGCCAAGAATAATGGGAAATTGGGAGGATGTCTTTGGCATGGACAAAATTTTATATGCATGATGTGGGTTTGAAAACTAATCTAAATCAACTTGGAGGTAGTAATGATGAGTTAGGTGTTTAATTTGGTTTTTCCAAAGCTTTGTTTACCAATGTATTGAAGACAAAAGTATATGGTAACTTTAAGTACAGTTTGTTGCCTGTGTGGATTCGTAAGTTTCTTACCTAGATGAGTATTGGTAACATTTAGCCACAGATGAGTAGCTCATAGAACAGCTATGAGTTTTTTTGGGTTTTTTCAAGTATATATTTTTAACTCATAGCTCTGTCATCTCTTGACCGATTTGAGATCTAATTGATGGTATGGTTGTGGGAATATTTTACAACCACATGTTTTTAAGAACTGGAGACTAAATATTTAGGTAAAATTACATACTAAAATTTAAACTTTTGTTATTAAAAACACATACTTCTAAAGAGTTGTATAAATATTTGTAGAATTAGTTTTATGACCATTGTAGAATGTTACTGGATCGTAGCTTAACAAAATCGTTAGGTATTATTTATTATTATTTTTAGTACAATCAAAATGCAACCTGCTTAAAAGAAAATTTCATTACATCATAAATAAAGATGATAAGATGAAAAAAAACTTAAGGAAAGTTTTTTTTGTAATAGGAGAAAGTCATTTCGTTTAAAATGAATCATATATATGTGTCACCATCTGAATTTGTAAACTTGAATACATGTCATCATTGACATAGAAACGTTGACAGGACACTTAAGGGGATTTTTAAGAGTACATTTACCAATTTAATGGACATTGTAATGAAAAGTTTTCATATTTAAAGGATGCCCTTTAATTTGACATTTGTTTTGCTCTAAAATTTTCAGTTTCATTCAGTATTTGAATCACAACTACTAATGGCTTGTTTTGATAATCATGATGGTTTAACTTCTTTTGCTAAAGGTTTTATTTAGCAACATTATATTGAGTTCCAGGTAGTAACACACACTTTAAAGGATTCAAACATTATCAATACTACATACAATAATTTATAGTAATTTGTTTTTTTAGGCTCAACAATTTCAATATTCTCTTAGTGGAGGAAGTAACCCTGAAGGGTCAGTGTCAACACCAAATCATCAGACATTTAACCAGGCAGAGTTGGATGCCCTTGTTCTTTCTTTAGATCTTGGAACAGGTATAATCATATATGTATATTCCCTGTCTTTTAATATTACAAGTATTATTTGACCATAAAAACAACTAGAAACCATTTGTATAAATAGTTTCACAGCACTGATCCAGTATATTGCTGATTGTACCATGAGCACATGAACTATATACAACTAGTGAGATATTCGATGGAAGTTTTTAAAACTGAAGAGCCCTTTTAACCAAGGATCTGTTAAAAACACATTTTAACTGAACTTGTTGATATAGCTGTTTGATTTTTTTTAATTTCTTCTTAATCATGTTTGAAATAGTACCTAAGTAGGGTATGATTAAAGTAAGTTTTCTTAAGAACATCTAACATAACAGTAGATGGGGATAGTTAGTTTTCAGCTTTTATGTAGATTATCCTATTTAGGAAGGACAACAGAAAACAATTTCTTTTAAGCATTTGTTTAGTGTTAACAATTTCTGCTTCAAATAGGTTTTAATTTCTTGATGTTTTATATGTTCTGTATAGCAGGGTTTTAAGCAGGTTTTCTTAAACAATTGAAAGAGTGAGGTTTTTAAACGTGTGTTTATGATAAACCTTGGTGGTAAGTATTCTTGGTTATTTAAGGTGTGAACATCTAAGAATGAGAGTTTATCATTCCGTTGATTTTCAACACTAAACTTTATATTGGAATGTTTGATATTTAAAACCAGGAAAAATTTATTTACTGGCTCAAAATTGTTAAACAGCACAAAAGTGTCATTCACATATCTCCTGTAATACACAGGTTTAAAACATTCAGGAAAGCACTGTAACCAAACTTTTTCATGGAAGCGCAGTATACCAGTAATGTATTACCAACCACTGTCCAAACAAATGTGATATTGTGTATACTTTAGAATATCTTGCCATTAAGCTAATAAAACCAGATCTTAACCAAATAATGAGTGCACTACCACTAATCTTTTGGTTAAGAAAATGAAAAGCAAGACTTGGACATGAACTTTGACCATAGTATAAACATTTGATATCTCACTCAGTCTTGTTTTAACAGCAAAATATTTGCATATTATAAGCTAAGTGATCTTTTATACTGAATGTGACATTTTGTACTAGTGTTTTTTTTAAATTTAAAACAGGGCATACATCCAGTTTCCCAAGTTAATTATTCATTTATCTATAGGAAGATGCATCCTTTAGCCCTAAATTAACCATTCTTATTCTACTTTGTGCCTAGAGTCCACTTTTTATTCAATATAAAAAATGTTCTATAACTAATTATTTTTGTTTACTTTCCTTTAAAGCAGGAGACAGTTCATCAGGACTTTTTCCACCATCATTACTTGGTGTATCTAATAACCAATGTTCCATATCTCAGGTTCCCAGTCATAGTCCTAGGGTAAGTGGACGTGTTCGTCTTTTGAAAATTAATACCATCGTTCCTGAAATGTTTTTTTATTAGTTGAATGTGTGGTAGTATCATTAAACTTATCTACCTATTAATGATTTTGTAAAACAAAATAAGTTAAGCTGTACGTATATAATGTGCGTAGTAAAATAGCTTATTATATTTTATACCATTAATAAAAAGGACTGATTTTTAAAAGAAACATTGTGTTGAAGTTGGGAAACATTTTCTTGTAGTGGTGTTTGTGTATGAATTATCTTAAATTGGTTTAAATTACTTGGCTTGCATCTACTTTGTGTAGTCTTACTTAATTAAAGCTACTTCAACTTTACTCTGCTGCTTAGTATTGTTGTTGTTTTTACCTTAATCACAGCTGTGTGTTCAGTTCTACATATAGTTTTCTGTGGTTAAAAGCTATATGTTCATTATGAAGATTAGTTTTACATTGTTCAAAGTTATTATGATCAATAGGAAAATGGATATTTATTAGTATGATATATTCATATTTCAAACCTTTTCTTATTATATTTTTCTGTCAGGACGAAGAACCAAAACCTGCTGATGAAAAGAAAAGTTTACTTCAGCAACTTCTCCAACACACACCAGAACCTTGCTAGAGATTATATCAAAGCCTCTCAACTTCATGAGGACTTTCAGCTGAAACAAACTTTAAGAGTAGCTATGAATCACATACATCATATTGCTAGAATTTACACTTACAGTAGAAACAATGAAAAAACGTTTATATGGAACAGGCATGAAAAGCTATTACAGTCCTCATTCACTTTTTGCTAAAGACTTCTCCCCAAGACTCTCAGTCATGGAGCTTGTGTTTGTGTCTTTGTATATATAGATATATATATATATGAATGTATACATATATGTATATTACTGGGATGACCAACTAACTACGCATCAACCATGGAAAGGAGAAAAGGCAAGTTAAAATAATTCCGAAGTATTCTACGATTTGTCCACCTAATTTAACTATCATTTTTCAGAGAAAATTACAAAGGGAAAAGATTCAGAAAATAGAAGTATTTCCTGTCTACAATAGACTCCATATTCTCTTTGGCATGTTTCGAAGGATCATAATGTTTAAGGAGAAAACAAATGGTGACATTTTTATCTGTGTGTCCTGAATTGATTAGGTTCTGCTTTTGGCACAAAACAGCATTGGTGTTTGTTTTGTTAGTCATTTTTTCCATAGTTTAAACTTGTTTTTTTGTTTGTGAACTTACTGTGTGGTTTTAATTTTCCTTCTACAAAGAATCTTAACTGTTTGTGCACACACACGCACACAAAAAAAATACTTATAAAACTTTGGTGATTTTGACAGGATTATATTAATTTCATATTTCAAAGCATAAGACACTATAGATAATTAATACATGTTAATCTTTAAAACTTGTTACTGTTTCAACTACCAGTAACAATAGTAGTTTTAATTAAAGAAACAAATATTTTTAGATTTATACAAATGAAAGTTTGTGACATTACCTTTGTGTAAATTCTATAAGAATAATATAAACTGAAAAACATATTTGTAATTATTAAAATTACGTGGCACATATTTTATGTGCCCTTAGCTGTCTAACTCTGAACTTTATAAAAGGAAAAATAAACGTTTTGTCACTTTTTTCAGAATCTTATACAGATATTTATGATGTACTAGATAAATCTTGTTGATTTATTCTTAATGTTTTAGAAGCTTCTACTTTAAACATGATTTCCAAGAATCAAAATGTTAATGAAGTTAAATTTTTAATATGATTTTATCTTTTTTTTTTTATCTTATATAGAAAGTTAACTGTTATGGTTATAAAGGAGTAATTATTAACGTCTTGTATTTGGAAATTGTAAGTGTAATGTCAAACCAAAGTTAATCATAGACGTATAAACGTTTAACTGAATAGAATTACGAGAAATTAAATACGAACAGTAGAAATGAAAACAAACTCATGGCTTGCATAGAAGCTGTGTTTTGTGTGTGTATATATATGGTGTTTAAATCATTGTGAGGTAAAAATTCAATCTTAACTACTTTACTGCATCCCTACCTCAGCTGTCTAAAATATAACAACTGTAATGTTACTGTTCTATTAAATTACAAATTAACTCTGGTTTCAACTCATAAATAAAAGTCAATTCAATGTTAAGTTGTGCAGAAATTGCCGTTGGTTATAGATGTGGTTAAAGTTTTGCTGTTATTAAACTGTCCAATAGCTGTAGGGGCAAATATTAGATTCTTGTAACTTCCTGTGATTGATACTCCATTCTGTGTTATTATAGATATTTTAAAGAAAAAGCTTTAAACTTTAAAATTGTTTTTATCTTTTACAAGGCTATAAAGTTAACTACTAAATTACCAGTACTTTCTTAAGTGTCTGTATTTCTTAACTAAAAGATTGTCATATTTTGTGTTATTACAATCTTTATTTTAATAACGTGACATGGTAAACAATTCTCACTTGTCAAAAAACAGAAAATTACAGAAATATCTGTAAAAAAAACCGGCAAGGATAAAGTAGAGAGACGATTTTGATTATTAAGAAAGGAAAGTTAAAAGTAGGAGAGATATGTTGCTTAAAGAATCGATTCTTAAAAAAATCCTAGTTCGTGTTGTGATGTGGTATATTACTGTCCATGTTATAGCATACCTATTTTTTAGATTTGGAGAGCTCAACTTTGTGATTATCATGAGTGATAGACATTTTAACACTAGGATTTCACTGAAGTTTCTCACATTAGCTTTACATTAAAACAGATTCAAAACATATTAGTTTAAAGTACTGTCTTACATATTATACATGTTTTTGGCCTGAGGTATTCTGTAATATAATTATTTTTAACACGTGTATTTGACAAAAAAATATGAACTACTACTTTAACACAGTGAAGCTTCTACTGTTGTATGAAAAATTTATAATTTTTATCAAGTGTCTTACATTGGTCATTCTATTGCCATATTGTCATTAAGAATTTTTTTGACATCTTAAAACCTGGTGTATACTGAATGATGTTAAATTTCTCCTACCTTTTACCGTCTTTTCCAAAAATCTGGTTACATACTGCGTATTTGATACTGTTCAATGCTTAAATTCTCTGATATTTGACAGTGTCAAAACAGAACTTCAACAAACAAGTTTGTAAGTTGAAATTTTAGCCATTTTGAAGTAGATTTCATTCAAAAATAGCTCGTTTTAATAATTGTCATTATTGGCAAGTAACATAGGAAAGACAGTCTTGCGATCAGATATTCGAACGTATTGCAGCACCATCTATGACGAAGTGGAACTTAAAAAAAAATATTCCATTTTGTAGAGTCACTGAACTGATCTGTTGTTAGTAAAGTTGGTCTTTCCAGTAATGTTTTGTACAAATTAAAAAGTTTTAATATTTTATTTTGTCATTTAACTAAGTTGTACTATTGTATAGATTTTTCGTGTCAGCTGAGTTAACAAAATATCCTTTATCATCGACTTGTATACTTAAAGTGTGCCTACTTTAAATGTAGCACTACAGGTATAGACGTTGACAGTTGATGACAGTTGTTTTTTTGGCAAATGAAACTTAAGCACAAACTAACACTGACTCCCATATTTTTGTTTTATGACTATGTTAACATTTTCCAATCTGTTTTTTTTTTGTATTTGCTTATACCTAGACACTTTTTATTTTATTGGAAGTAACACTCCAGTCTTATTATGATTTTTCTCTGTGTACACGTGTGTATACTTAACCGCTAGGGCTAAGTATTTCCATTGCATTATTATTATGTGGATATAGTGATCAGAAATATCAGCCATCTGCCCTTACTTTAATATTTCTCTACTGCTATGTTTTTGAAATTCTAAAAAATATATTGTAAACAAAATTCCATCCCTTACACTTAGGGCCTTAAAGACACTCGATTGAAGTCATACTTGTTGCTGTAACTGCATCGGAAAGCACATATTTTTGTATACATATATATAAATAGCTATAAACTTTGGGTGAGTTTGGCACAGTTAGTAGATTCTATTATTACAGGAGTAGTTTAAGTCCAAAGTTATCGAATACTGTTTTTTGTTTTGTTTTTTGTCTTGAGATTTAAGACTGATCTACATATGTACAGAAGAAACCAAAAACGTAGTTGTGAATCTGTGAAAGCTAGTTTGCAGTGATGCTGTTAGTTTTGGAGATTGTTGCTGTTGAAATGTTTATTTTAAATAATTTTGAGACTGTTAAATTATTGTATATTCTGCTCATAGCTAATCCATACGTTATATTTACGCCAGTTGTTGAGAAAATTGGGGGATTACGTGTAAGCTTCATGCTGGAGAATTGAAACTTTTAACTGAAACAGACGGTTATGCTGAATTTATTTTAATACGTAATGTAATTCAGTAAAATGAAAGTTCCTCCTCGTTAGGTTCTTGTGTAAACACCTTACAGTTGTCTTCTCTGAATAAAATATTGGGTTGAAAACTATTTTTCCCGCCTCCGAAGTTTGAATTAATCATAATCATCATCTGTCCACTAAGTTTAGCAAGAATCCAGACATTGCAGGCCACATACTCAGTTTTGGAGTGAAACCAAATTTGCCTGTAGACGTAGTTTCTATGTAAACTCTACACTAGCAAATTTCAATGGATTGTGATACTTCAGTACTGCTGAGAACTACTCTAGTCCAACTATTCTGAACAAAGTAATAATAACATCCACAAGTCCGTTCTACTTCATGGATTGTGATACTTCAATATATATTAATTACTGCTGAGAACTACTCCAGTCCAACTTTTCTGAACAAAGTAATAATAGCATCCACAAGTCCATTCTATTTCATGGACTGTGAAACTATTTCATTATATATATTAATTACTGCTGAGAACTACTCCAGTCCAACTT